GTGTGTGAGGGTGTGTGTGTGTGTGTGTGTGTGTCTGTGTTTTAGAGGGCACAGACAACGATTGTTCTCTCTGGGTGTTAGCTTTCGGAGCAGGAAGTGCACATTTGGGTCAGGGGGGGATATAGGCACGCTCAGTCTGCCCACATCTGTTCAAATACCAGAGAACCCTCAAAGTCACACAGGAAATGTGCACGAGTGTGTGTGTGTGTGTGTGTGTGTGTATGTGTGTGTATGTGTGTGCAACAGAAGCCTCTCTTTGTGAGCACAATTTATAAAAATATTTGACCTTTCCCTGCATATAACACGTTCCCACAATAAATAACAGAGGGGAAATGTATCATGTACCTGCTGTAAAGGGCACAGAGGCTGAATCAACACGTCACTTAGACAACTTGTCTTTGTCTTTGAACAGTGAATTAATACAAAGTCTGAAATAACACGTTCAGTCCTTAAAGTGCTGACGTATGGCGGCATCGGAGGCACACACACACCTTTCAAACATTTCGTTCACTCAGAAGTGGACTCGGTGCGATAATAAAAGATTTATCGTAAACGATGAGGATGAACGGGGTTGAGGCGCAGCGGGAAGTGGCACGTGTCGGTGACCGAGGCTCAGTGGACAAAGGGAATCCGGGGGTGAGACAACGGAGAGCAGGTGCAATGAAGTCATTGAAACACTCGGGGAGAAACAACTCAGTGGAGCCAAACATCACAAAAGCTGCACAGCGTCTGCAACACGTGCTGATGGAACAATGTGCAGAGAGAACTGGGTTTGAATCCTGCAGCACCTGATGAGGATGATGAGAAGCAGGTGTGCTCAGGAACCTGCAAAGAGAAACACACACATCTGCAACAAATCTGATGACATCATCATGGTTGCTCTCTCCATGACAGATGAAAGAGTGAAATCGTTCATAAAACTGATAAAATTGCACCTTTAATGCCGATCAGGCAAAACTGGACGCGTACACGCTCTTTATGTGTTGTTACGCTCAATTACTTGTTATTGTCCTCCTCCCAGAAAAATCAAATAAAACTCGATGTAGTACAATAAACACTGTTAACATGTATTTCAACATGTTTATTGTTTGCGTAGCCGCAGTGTTACTGCTACACGGAGACTGAGCTTCCATCAGAGGTGTGATCCCGGCGTCAGAGGCTGTTTGTTTCCTGTGCGTCTGCACTGCGTTCAGGTTCAAGCCAACCTTTGTGCGTGAACCTGAAAAAACACAACTTTATCTTCAGATTGAGGAAAAACCGTACAAGGAAAACATTCAAACCCCAAAACCAACGGAGTGGAACACTGATTTTATGTGTTGAATCAAGCGAGGGGCCGTGTCACACTGACGCTGCTCGACACACAAGACTGACCTCGTGAGTTTTTGTGACGGCCATAAAGCCGTCTTCTTCCAACACACCCTGCTGAATTAGAGTCGGTTAAAAGTGTCTGAGGACGATGGGGAAACGAGTGGAAGGGTTGGGAAGGGGGTGTGTGTGTGTTTGTGTGTGGCTCGACTGAACGTGAGTAAAGGGCGGGAAACGAAAGAAAGAAGAAGGATGATAGGAGGATAGAGGGGTGGGATGGGACGGAAATGGGCCTGGAGGGAAGAAGGAATAAAAAGAGTCTGTAAATGTTCCCATGTGTTGCTGGCGTCAAAAATGAAAGACTTGCATCTTACAGAAGAAGTGAGGGGATGAAAGCAAAGGAGTAAAGACAGGAGAGGATGGAGAGAAGAGGAGGATGGAAGTAAAAGATTTCAGTGCCAGACGGAGGAATGAGGTGGACCCTCTGATATTTTAAGAGCCAGTGAATAAACTCTCTGTCGACGCTGACGCTGGAAAACAAAAGAGCAGCTCCACAAATAGAAATAAAACAAAGGCAGAGTGAGTCCCTGAAGTAGGTTTCTCTCCTCCTCCGCCCCTGCGCTGCCACGTTGACAGGACAATCCGTCTATTCTCGGGAAAAAGAAAACTGACTTTAACTTGTAAACACCACAGAGGAAGAGAAAGAAGGGCAGGGTCATTAATGAAGCTTCATTGTACAGTGACGTAGGTCATTGTTTCTCTCAGGGTCTCAGGCGAGCTGAACTGTTTTTAGGCCATTTCAAGAATTAAGAAACTTTAGGAAACTTTGATTTCCCGGAGAATTAAGTTGAAGAACATTTCTTTTTTTTTGTGATTTGCAGCAGCTCGATTGTAGTTAAGGGACAGTTGGGCCTCGACGGAGGAGAAGTGTTCCAGCAGAATACGATAATGTGATTATTGCTACTGCTTTGGTTTGAAACAAAAGTTTTTAATGTCCCCGTTTCAAACACTTTCATGTCGATGGACACGTGAGCGTGTTTGAGAATCTTTTACTCATAAAGACGAAAACTACCTCAACTCTTTCTCCAAACTGAGAATCATCGAGCAGCTGCTGCAGGAGGAGGAGGAGGAGGAGAAGATGCTCACTCAACATCCTGTCAGTGCTACTGTGACATCTAGTGGAGGTTTACTGCTACTACACTCTATGTTCTGCTTAACTGTTTTGAAAATTAGGTCGAAATTTTGCATCGACATCAATTTTACTGATTTATTTGCTAAATAATTCACATGAATATCTCAAAATTTCTTTGATTTTAAACACAACACTGTGATCAGTCCTTGTGTTGAGGTTTGTCCTGTGTGCTGCCGTCCTCTGTGTGTGAACACACACTCTGCTCCGGGCTCCTCTCGATCGTCAGCCCTCTCTCGGCCTCCTCGGCACACGGAGCTCTTCCCTCCTGGATGTGCAGCTTCCCGTCTGGAGCCACGCAGCAGGTGACGGCTTCAGGCTTCAGCCCTTCAGGCGGATCAAACTCCTGTCTGAACTCCCGGAGGCTGCAGGAGCAGGAGCCTTTTCCCGTCCTCCAGCTTCTTCTCCGTCCGCCCGCTGACTCTCAGCTTCCTGCCCACCAGGATGAGTTGAAGTGTGTCCATCGGCTGCAGGTTCCTCTGCAGTGGATCCTGCGGGTGGAGCAGAGGTTTGACCTCAGGCCACAGAGGCCTGTAGAAGCTGAGGGGAGGACCGAGGGCAGCAGAGTCCATGAGAGCACAGCATCGTCAGAGTGCAGCGTGGAGTCGTCTTGTTGTGAGTCTGTTCTGCTCTGTGTTGCTTGTGTTGTTTTAAATCTATTCCAGAGCATTCCGGAACTTTCTGGTGATTACCCCAGCTCTCCACTAGGTGCTGCTGTTACTCAGGACTGCTGCTGTTACTGGATCTTTCCTGTATCACCATGAATTAGAGTTTTCTGAATATGCAACTGATCCTTACAGTAATATAGTTCTGTGGTCAGAGGAGTACGTTCACTGATAATGAATAATAATTTCAATCAATACTCAAATAACACTGGTCAATGTGCTCGGCCTCCTCTTATGTTTACTGGAATCTCTAGAGCAGAAGGTCAGAAGAAGAAATGAAGAATCCATGATATTAAACTGAAATCTGCTCTAGAAGATTAATATAATCAAACATTTACTGGATTCAGCTCAAATTTATATAAAAAAGGTCGAAAATCAAAACAATGACGACTCTGTTGAGACTTTCTGTCAAATAGAAAATAGAAGTTGTAGTTTAAGTGAGCACAGTGACCATGTTTCAAGTTAAAACTTTGTTTCCTGGAGATGTTTGCTCAAAGCTCCACTGTCAGGACCCTGACCATGACTGACTGTCCTCAACAAGGACTGAGTGGGCCACAGTTTAAATCCCATCAGTGGGATGATAACAGACACAATAGCTGTATATGAGTAGAATGGGCCTCCTCCTCCTCCTCCTTCTCCTCTTTTATGAATGAACGCTGGAGTCCCCGTGACCCAGTCAGCCAATGAGCAGCTCGCACCTGCAGCCGTGCGCAGCCCTGCAGCAACAAGAGGTCAGTGCGTAAACGTGGAGCAGCAGCAGATCCAGTCGGATCATCCAGGCCTGCATGCGCACTCACCCACACACACACACCACAGACACACACCACAGACACACACCACCAGCAGCAGCAGCAGCAGCGGGGATCTGATCCACACATCTGCGTCGCAATGCCGCTGAAGAACGGCAACAGCGTGGGTCTGGAGAGACGCATGGACCTGGCCTCGCTCTTCTGCATGATCGGTCGCCACGGACCCGCGGTGGCTCTGGCCGTGATCGCGATGGCGTCGGTGCTGGTGGGTTTCATCATCTACCGGAACGTGAGGGGGAAGAAGCGGAGGAAGGCCACGGCCGCAGCCGGGGACGGCGACGGCGAGAGCCCCGGAGCGCAGAGGGACGCGTCGGGGGCGAGTCCCGGGGATCCACTCAGCTCCTCCGTGGAGTCAACAGGTAAAAAGATCCAGAAATAACTGCCTGGTGTCATAGATTTATATGAACATATAGATAATGTGTTAATCTTTTATCAAAATACTGCCTGCTGAGCAATATCACAGGAATATGATCGTCCTGTATCAGATATATAACACCAGAAATACACAAAACTACCTGGCACTGCAAATAATATTTGATATGCAGCCTGGTTACAGTGATACTGTTAGAGATAAATATAGATATACTACAAAGATGACTTCATTCTAATGTACACAGGTATTTTAAAGGAACTCATCCAGTCTTAAGAAATACTCTTGGTATTTGCAGTGATTGGATGTAATTTAAATACATTCCCATATTTTCTATTTGAAATTATGATATAGTGCAAAACCTTAATTTGAATGTTTCCATATTCTTGATATAAGGATTTCATTTTACTTTTGGTGGATTTATTTCTCTGACTCTTAGAGTTGTTTGTCTCTCTAAGATTTGATGAGCCAAACATTTGATGAGCCCATAAAATAGGTTGCATTGTCTTGAATAAATAACCTGCTATAAATAAATAAAGTATGCTGCAGTATTTAATGACGACAGATACAACTGGCTTAAGTCCATCGCAGTAAGTGCTCACGTATTAACATAGCATGTAAATAATCATGAGATATATTACAGTTAACACCCACGGGGGACATTTCATTGTTACGAGACGACAATAAAAAGGGAACTGTAAAGTATTACAGACAAGAAATCCACGATCCACATATGAACCATGTTTTATCTTAAATTTGACAAGTGGACTCAGATAAAGACACAGTGATTTAAGTGAAATAAGAACAAACCAGATACTGTTGTGTGACGAGACAAGCAAACAACGAATCACTGCTCGTTGTATTGATTGGATTTTCCTGTGATTAGATCTTCTGCTGTTTTGTGATTTCACAAAAAGGTACAAAGTTCGATCAGACAGTTTTAAAAAGGTTTACCTTGTGTTTTATGTCTGTCCGTCGTAAACCGGTTAAGATACTCGTCCTAGATTGATCAGAAAAGGGAACTTGGTATGTTTTAGAAGTATTAGTTGATAGTTTTAGTCTTAACAGGTTTTCTCATGACGTTCTCATCAGGTTTGCACTTCTGTGAATCAGTTGGATAAACATTTTCTTCTCTCACAGATGGGAGCGATGAAGTTTCGTCAGAGATGAAGGACGACGCTGATCTATCCCAACGTGATCTGAATCTCAGGCATCGTCGTTCTCCTGCTGCTGAAACTAAACCTTCTTCTTATTCTCCGGCTGAGAGCGACGAGCACGCACGTGCACCTGACTCAGAGGCCGTGACAGTTGTGCACGACTCTTACGAAGAAGCAGAGAAGTGCGCAGAGGAGGCCACTCACAACCTGACATGTGATGCGACCACGTCGGCTGGAATGAAGGTGGAGAGCGCAACAGATGACAGAGTTAGAGAAGACGTCAACGAGGGGGTCCATGGTAACGAAGGCTGCTGGACGGAGCCTGTGTTGATTCACGATGAGCGACATGAGGAGGTTGAGAAGGTATTTCTATTTATAAATTGGACTGAATTCTTCTTTTTACCCACGTCTCTTGAATCTCATTGACAGTTTTCTGATGCGTCCTTTCAGGTGTTTGAGGCCGAGGATCAGGACGATGAGAGTGAGACCATAGACGAGGAGGAACATCAAGTCTGCTTCGTCCAGACCCTTCGTATGAGTGGTGATGACGATGATGTTGAACATAGACGACAAGATAACGAAGCTACACCGGAGACAAATGGAGTGGAGGCCGGCGTGAATGTACCCTCCATTCGTATCGAAGATGTGTCCGTCTGTTGTGTCTGTTACGGCAAAGACGAGTTTGAAGAAGAGAATCACCATCAAGATGGTATTGACGACAGTAATCATTCCAGTTATCACTTCTCTCCAGAGGAAGAAAAGGAAAATGTGGGTGAGGAGGCTGAAGAAGAGTTTGTAGACCAACAGTTCGTTCCTCAACCAGACGAAATCTGTCCCTCGACTTGTGAACAGGAACCAAACCAGATTGAACCAAAAAATAAAAATAATGGTCTCATGAATGATCAAGGGAATGGAGTCCTCCCCACCGTGGCTGATGAAGCGAGAGAGGAAACCAGAACTAGCGATGACGCTGTCGCCCGTGGTGAAGAACATGACGGTTCAGGTGTGGTACTCGACTCTTCTCTACATCGTTTGAACGAGCCAGTGCAGGTTGATAATCACGACGATCCGTCAGGTATCAACACTAATGCAGAAACTCAAATCTCAGGCGTCGCGGATTCCTTGGAATCGAGATCGGACTGTCAACAAACACAAAGTGAAGAGAATGAAGAGGAAACCGTCAAACCTCTGGATAAAGACACAGATCTGACTGTTTCTGGATCCGACGTACCATCGCTCCAGGAAGAACTTTGTAACTTGAGAAAGAACATAATACTGGCAGAAAAAATCTCTCAACCCCAAGTGTTAAAAATTAAAAAGATTTTTGCTGCGACTGGTGCAGCTGTTTGCGATAACGAGACGATTACCACATCTGCGATTTGTGAAGAATTATCTCACCCTGACACGTTGGCTCTATCCCAAGACCAAGAAAGTCACCGAATGCAAAATACAAGTCGGGACCTTAACCCTCCCAGGTGGCAGCCTCCCTTACGGTCTTTCGAGCAAAGTGAGCTGAGGGATCAGGACGAGGGCAGCGTGTGGTCTCCTGGGTTTGGAGCAGAGAGCGGGATTTCAAGCATGACCGCCAGTCCTGATTTGCAAGATGCTGGTGACGAGTTTGGCGAGACCATAGAAAATATGATATTTCCACAACTGGATTGTGATCCACAGTCAGAAGAAGGGACAGAGACTCAAAACAGCCTCTATGTTGCTGTTTCTGTCATTACAGAAGATACAGCAGGTACGATGTTCGGGCCTTACCCATCACTTCTCTCCCATCAGCCCCACAGTGAGCAACCGGATGAGGCCCAGGACGACTCGCTTGCAGACAACGAGGACACGTTTGGTCATGAGATCGAGGACAGTTACCACAGAGCACTGGAGCAGGTTATGCTCCAGATCTCAGCAACTTCAGTGAACACGACCGAGGAGCTGAGGATTCAGACCGATGTGAAGGCTGTTGTTGAGGTTGTACAGATCAAGGAGAAGAAGGAAGACGCGAGAGCTGCAAAGAAAATGGAAACAGAGGCAGAGACGGAGAAAGAAGACGACTATGAGAAGACTGAAATCAGTATCATGGAAGCGACTATGGACAATAACGAGTGGATCACGGACAGTAGCTACCAAGTCCTCCCCTGGATGAACATTACTGTCCCATCCTTTTCCCAAGACCACAAAAACGCCGTTCAGCCCCCCACTGACGCTCACAGCTCTTCTCTCACCGACGTTTCATGTGTAGATACAGATTCTGCAGCTTCAGCTGACGTCAAACAAACCAGCACGCTCGCTGCTGCTGACGAAAATACGGAAAACAACAAAAAGGTCGTGGCCGTCCAGCCCATGCCCCAGAATGTTAACGTGACGTTCCGCATCCACTATCTCACCCACTCGCCGTACCAGACGGTGGCCGTCACAGGAAACCAGCAGGAGCTGGGGAACTGGAAGGATTTCATCCCGCTGGAGAAGGCCAAGGACGGGCAGTGGGCCACGGTTGTCAGCCTCCCTGCAGAGAGCCATGTGGAGTGGAAGTTTGTGCTGGTGGAAAAGGGTGAGGTGTGTCGATGGGAGGAGTGTGGAAACCGGCTTCTTGACACAGGCTACGGAGATGAGCTGACTGTGCACAAGTGGTGGGGGCTGTTGTAGGACGAGTCCAAGAGGAAAGGGCTGCGGAGGGGACAGGAAGTTTGACATGAAACGAGCTGGATACTGGACCAGATGAAGTTTAAACGTATCCATGAACCCCATCACGAGAGCCCAATGATGATATGTTGGACTCAGTCAAACATGATGGTATCTAAACTTTAAAGAAAGATGTCTACAGGTCAATGTTCAAGAGAAATTTGGTTGTTTTTAACGTTACAACGGAATATTAACAACAGTTTTGATAATTTTACAAAGATGTTTCTCTTCTAACCCTTTAAATGTGAATTTCGTTTGCTTTTGTTCTGTTTTATGAGGAGGACCCCCTCGGCTGTCAGACCTACTAAATAAAACAGTCATTTTACAAAATAATCAAAACCTATAGCAAACATACACTAGTCCATTTAAACGTGTAGTAGACATACAAATTTAATTTTAACCACATTTAACCCAGTTTTTAATCTGCCCTCTAACGTCCGATGAATATTTTTAACTGTCCTCAAAAAAAAAAAATGCCTTCTTCGTTTCTGTGGCAATATTTTTGGATGAAGAAAACTGCA